GACATGACTTTTTTTTGACACACCTAATATATATATATATATATATATATATATATATATATATATATATATATATATATATATATATATATATATATATATATATATATATATATATATATATATATATATTATATATATATATATACATATATATATATATATATATATATATATATATATATATATATATATATATATATATATACATAGACATGCAAAATACATATATATATGAAGGGTGCAAGGGGAAAACCAGTGATGTCACATTTTAACATTTTTTGAGTTATTATCCCAGCTATGTTAAAGATAAGTTTCTGCATCTTTACACAAATGGACATGAAAAAAAAAAAGTTAAATCACACCTAAATTTTTATGTGAAAAAAGGGGTCGCAAGGGGTAAACCAGAGATGTCCAAGTTGTTCAAGGGGTAAACCGGAGATGTCCAAAACCCTTTGCGCAGAATAGGAATTTTGCCAATCGGATTTGTTTTCGCCAAAAACATAATACTCTTATATTTGCTGAAATGGCGGACAAATGTCAGTATCCTGATATATCAAAAATTCCAAAAAAGAAAAAAAAACATGGTCGAAAGTGGGAAAGAAATAGAAATGAACGAATATCATCACATGTTATTGGTTTTCCGTGTCATTGCAAACGGTATAAGTGTTTTAAAGAAACGACAGTTGAAGAAAGGGAGTTTTTACTGTTGTACTTTAATAAAATGCAAAATAAAGATCATCAAGACAGTTTTCTTGCTTCAATGATTGAGGTTTTAAGTATTAAACGAAGAAGACCTTGGAAAAAAGAAGAAAAAAAGGTTTCTTCGTGATCATTCATTCTCTTATTATAACAAAGTGGCACGAGGTAATGATATCGTAAGAGTTCCAGTTTGTATCAATGCTATCTTATCAATATTTGGCATTGGAAAATCAAGAATAGAAAGAATAAGAGGATCTCTTGTTAAGACAGGTTAGTAAAAATAAATAAACATTATTAACATGCAGTATTAAGTACTAATTATTCATTTGAATAAATAATACACACACAAATTTATCTTTTATAAAAGAAAAGACTTTGTCTGAATTTAAGCCCCTATAAATTATGATAAAATTTGATTTAATCAAGTTAAAACATAGAAACATAATAAGCTTGTACATTTGACTTTTTTAAGGAGTTCCTCCTTTAAACCAGCAAGGAAAACATACAAATCGACCTCTCGCCTTTTCAGAGAATATTGTAAATAGTATCATTGATCATATCAAATCTTTTAAAGGACGCCAAAGTCATTATGCTTTGCATGAAACTAGAAAGTTGTATTTGCCAGAGGATCTTAATTTATCGAAAATGTATAATATGTACAAAGAGCATTTCCCACAAAATAAAGTTTGTCGTGAAAGCTACAGGTACTTTGATAACATTTATTTGCTTATATGAGTTTTATTTCATATTATCGAATTGTCTACTTTTCTTATCAGGAAAATATTTGCAGAAAAATTTAACATCAGCTTTGGTTATCCTCGTAAAGATACTTGCTCAACATGCGACAAGCTCAATATTATACTTGAAAATCAAGACACTGCTGCAGATCATCAGATCATCAAAGCTAGTCACGAAAAAGAACTTTATTTGCGAAAAGCAGAAATGTTTTATACCAGAAAGAGAGAAGCACGTAGTAATTTAAAAACTGGTCATGTAGCTCTTGCTTTTGACTTTGCGAAGAATATGAGTTGTCCTAATGTTTCTACAAATGATGTTTATTATCGTAGACAGCTCTCTATGTACACATTTAATATACACTGCTTAGGGTCAAATAGTGTTCACTTGTTTTGTTACGATGAAACTTATGGGCAAAAAGGAGCGGACAATGTAGCAAGTATGCTGGAGTACTATTTTGAAGACATTATACCAAAAGATGTATCTCATTTGCAGCTTTTTTGTGATTCCTGTGCTGGGCAAAATAAGAACTGGACTGTTATTCGTTTTTTGCACTTCAATGTTGTGAATAAAAAACGGTTTCACGAAATAAAGATATCTTTCCCAATAAGAGGCCACAGCTACATGGAGTGTGACCGAGATATGGTGTTAGTTAATCAGAAGGTTCGAGCAGAGCTACCAGTAAATTGGATGGAAGAATATCATACCTGTCGTGAGAAACCTTTGCCATTTAAAATTATCAAGATGGAACTGAAAATGTTCTTTAATTTTTCTGATCATATGAAACAATTTTACAAAGTTAAATGTCCAATACCAACACGTCCTATACGTGAAATAATTTTCTCTCAAGATTTTCCTACTGTGTTACAATACAGATTTAATTGGAATGGACCTTTTGAAAGAGTTGCCATAACAAAAGCTATAGGAAAAAAGAAGCAGTTATTGCGAAAACCCCTCACACGTTTGTACAACGAGAGATTGCCGATCAGCTGTGCCAAGTATGCGGACCTTCAAGTTCTAAAATATTTTTGCATGCCAGAGGCCCAGCAGTTTTTTAACGACCTGCCTTACAAAGGTCAGTTAAGTGATGATGAATTAGTATCAGAATTGTCTGAATATGAGTCAATTTAAATTACTGTAACAGTTAGTGATTAAAGGAAAAAGATAAATTTATTTTGAAGTCATACTAAATTTTGTTTTTACATAATATTTATTACTATATTATTTTAAACATAGTAGTATATTTTTAAAAATATATTAAAAAAGACTTGATTTTTCAACAGTACTCATTTTTGTATTATAAATCTTAAAATAAAATCGAATTCTTTTACACTCTTTAACGTACATTTTTTTTAAAAGCAAAATTGTGTTAGATAATTCATTATTTTAGACTAGGGGTGGAAAGTTGTTGAAATATGGATTAACCAAATAAATTTAATACATATTTTTTTTTAAACATAATATTACAGAAAAGCTTATACAACAACTTATAGGCGGTATGTGATAATAAATCCCTTTTGGAGTTTTTTTTTTTTTTTTTTGCACCTTCTTGCTTTCCCTGACAGTGCTTATTATTTGAATTAAAAAAATTTAAAATTAAACATAACAGTCATGCATTTGAATGTATTATAAAAAAAATTGAACATTGCTTGACACCACTGGTTTTCCCCTTGCACCCTTCATATACATAAATATTTTTTAACTAAAATATTGAAAGAATGTACGTATTGTTTAAATTTATTAAGTGTTTTTTTATAGCTCTTTTAAATATATCAATAGATTTTATTTTTTTCATATTTTCGTCAAGAACCGAGTTCCACAAGCGTGGTCCCCGACATGTAATTGAGAAGTCAGACTTTTTGAGTGATGTTAGTGGGATGTAGTAATTATTTATTGAGTGTCTTGTTTTATATTTATGATTAATAAGAGAGAAGTTTTTTATAAAAATGTTTTGGAATTTATTCGTTTTGAAGTTTAAACATAAATAACACGTTATGGTAGATATTTAATTTGTATACATTTAGGGCATTTATTTTCTTGACCCAGCAAACAATAGACATCTTTTAGACTGTCTAAAATTGGTCTAATTTGCATCTATTGCCGGTACGTATATTTTAGACGTATATTAGAGATCGAAAAGACGTTTGATTCTAGAGATACTATTTTTGCTCTGCTTTAGATGCATATTAGATGCATAAAATAGATCGTGCATAGATAATTTTTTTTTATCTAAACTTAGGTCTATAAGATGTCTTTTATAGTCTATAAGATGTCTTTTATAGATTTGTTATAAAAATAAGAAAAAAATTTTAACTAATTTTACGGAGCGATAATTATAAATGACCGCCATTTAAAAACTATGCGGAAACTTATTTCGAAAAAAGTATAAAGATTTTAACCTATGGAAGACATCATGATGCTTAGCATGTTTGCTAAAATCCTTGTGATTTGAAATTTATTTTGCAGAAATATTATAAAATTAATATTTTCAAGTTGATATTTTTATTTCTAGAATAAAAGATAATGTAGTTAAAATATATGTATATATATATATATATATATATATATATATATATATATATATATATATATATATATATATATATATATATATATATATATATATATATATATATATATATATATATATATATATATGCGTTTTTCAATAACACAAAAGATTGTTTTATTTCTTATCTTGCAAAAATTTAAAAGAATATTTTGACCATCATGAGTCATCGAATTTGTACATGTTGCACTAAACAAGTGGATTGACAAAGAATAGCAACAAATTTATTATCCCAAAAAAAATTATAATTATGGACTGAAAAACATCCTTTCGCCAACAAAAGGATGGCACATATTTCCATTGATAAAGTGTAAGATAACAGATGGTCAGTATCTAACTTGTTTTGTGTTTTTTTAAAAGGTAACTTAATTACTTTTTTGTAGCAAAATGTTTTATAATTAGATTCATTTTAGTAGTGTGAAGAATACAACTTTCTACATCAGATGAGATATATGTTAAAGAAAGCATTGAAAATAAGAATAACAAATCATACCACTCTTTAGTGCCAGAACCTCAGCCACCTATTATAAATGAGCCCAATGCTAAAAGTATAACACAAATATCATATATTTTTCTTAATGGTTTATAAACTGAAATAGGTTTTTGTTTAATTTGATCTGAATAATATCTATCTAGCTATTAGTCTTTTTTATGTATTACTAAGGTTTTCCTTTAATTTTAACTATTTGGGTGTCCTATTATATGTAATGTTGTTAAATTGGTTACATATATTTATATCATTGACAACATTCTATTAAATTAAATAATCCTTTAATCAACTTGATATGAAAATTGAAAATTGATTGAAAGCATGCTGAAATTGTTTGAATTCAGAAATCGAAGGAGTACAAAATTGGTTGAATAATTAAATTAAGTAACAGGTATGGTTGAGGGATTATTTATAGTTCTAATTATAATTATTTCTTTTGAATAGATTCAGAGATTGAAGAAGATGTTTTATCTTCAAATTTTATTGAAAAGACAATAAAACCAA